TTTAAGGGGGTGCGGCGGGTACACCCCGGCGGTGAGTTCAAGCTCAGCTCTCGACAGCCCAGCATCCCTGGCATACCAAGGAGCCGGCTACAGGCTCTTCCCTAGGCCCCTGAGGGGGGGGTCTAGAGGCAGGTTTAGGGTTTTATTTAATGCAAACAGCCAGAGCTGCAGCTCCCCCCGGAAGAGTATCCGGGACCCTAGAGGCTATAGGCACGCCTCAGCTTAGCCATTTCGAGCTTCACTCGCCCTCCTTTTCATTACTGCCCCCCCCTGGATTTTTGCCCAGGAGGTCACCCAACCCAGTTTCGCACTCCCCTCAACAGGCACTTAGCCCAGGAGTTCTAACGAAGCTGTGTGTAAAGCAGTAATAGGCAATGGGCCTGCCTTGCAGTGGGCACTACACCCTTTTAAGGGGGTGCGGCGGGTACACCCCGGCGGTGAGTTCAAGCTCAGCTCTCGACAGCCCAGCATCCCTGGCATACCAAGGAGCCGGCTACAGGCTCTTCCCTAGGCCCCTGAGGGGGGGGTCTAGAGGCAGGTTTAGGGTTTTATTTAATGCAAACAGCCAGAGCTGCAGCTCCCCCCGGAAGAGTATCCGGGACCCTAGAGGCTATAGGCACGCCTCAGCTTAGCCATTTCGAGCTTCACTCGCCCTCCTTTTCATTACTGCCCCCCCCTGGATTTTTGCCCAGGAGGTCACCCAACCCAGTTTCGCACTCCCCTCAACAGGCACTTAGCCCAGGAGTTCTAACGAAGCTGTGTGTAAAGCAGTAATAGGCAATGGGCCTGCCTTGCAGTGGGCACTACACCCTTTTAAGGGGGTGCGGCGGGTACACCCCGGCGGTGAGTTCAAGCTCAGCTCTCGACAGCCCAGCATCCCTGGCATACCAAGGAGCCGGCTACAGGCTCTTCCCTAGGCCCCTGAGGGGGGGGTCTAGAGGCAGGTTTAGGGTTTTATTTAATGCAAACAGCCAGAGCTGCAGCTCCCCCCGGAAGAGTATCCGGGACCCTAGAGGCTATAGGCACGCCTCAGCTTAGCCATTTCGAGCTTCACTCGCCCTCCTTTTCATTACTGCCCCCCCCTGGATTTTTGCCCAGGAGGTCACCCAACCCAGTTTCGCACTCCCCTCAACAGGCACTTAGCCCAGGAGTTCTAACGAAGCTGTGTGTAAAGCAGTAATAGGCAATGGGCCTGCCTTGCAGTGGGCACTACACCCTTTTAAGGGGGTGCGGCGGGTACACCCCGGCGGTGAGTTCAAGCTCAGCTCTCGACAGCCCAGCATCCCTGGCATACCAAGGAGCCGGCTACAGGCTCTTCCCTAGGCCCCTGAGGGGGGGGTCTAGAGGCAGGTTTAGGGTTTTATTTAATGCAAACAGCCAGAGCTGCAGCTCCCCCCGGAAGAGTATCCGGGACCCTAGAGGCTATAGGCACGCCTCAGCTTAGCCATTTCGAGCTTCACTCGCCCTCCTTTTCATTACTGCCCCCCCCTGGATTTTTGCCCAGGAGGTCACCCAACCCAGTTTCGCACTCCCCTCAACAGGCACTTAGCCCAGGAGTTCTAACGAAGCTGTGTGTAAAGCAGTAATAGGCAATGGGCCTGCCTTGCAGTGGGCACTACACCCTTTTAAGGGGGTGCGGCGGGTACACCCCGGCGGTGAGTTCAAGCTCAGCTCTCGACAGCCCAGCATCCCTGGCATACCAAGGAGCCGGCTACAGGCTCTTCCCTAGGCCCCTGAGGGGGGGGTCTAGAGGCAGGTTTAGGGTTTTATTTAATGCAAACAGCCAGAGCTGCAGCTCCCCCCGGAAGAGTATCCGGGACCCTAGAGGCTATAGGCACGCCTCAGCTTAGCCATTTCGAGCTTCACTCGCCCTCCTTTTCATTACTTGCCCCCCCCTGGATTTTTGCCCAGGAGGTCACCCAACCCAGTTTCGCACTCCCCTCAACAGGCACTTAGCCCAGGAGTTCTAACGAAGCTGTGTGTAAAGCAGTAATAGGCAATGGGCCTGCCTTGCAGTGGGCACTACACCCTTTTAAGGGGGTGCGGCGGGTACACCCCGGCGGTGAGTTCAAGCTCAGCTCTCGACAGCCCAGCATCCCTGGCATACCAAGGAGCCGGCTACAGGCTCTTCCCTAGGCCCCTGAGGGGGGGGTCTAGAGGCAGGTTTAGGGTTTTATTTAATGCAAACAGCCAGAGCTGCAGCTCCCCCCGGAAGAGTATCCGGGACCCTAGAGGCTATAGGCACGCCTCAGCTTAGCCATTTCGAGCTTCACTCGCCCTCCTTTTCATTACTGCCCCCCCCTGGATTTTTGCCCAGGAGGTCACCCAACCCAGTTTCGCACTCCCCTCAACAGGCACTTAGCCCAGGAGTTCTAACGAAGCTGTGTGTAAAGCAGTAATAGGCAATGGGCCTGCCTTGCAGTGGGCACTACACCCTTTTAAGGGGGTGCGGCGGGTACACCCCGGCGGTGAGTTCAAGCTCAGCTCTCGACAGCCCAGCATCCCTGGCATACCAAGGAGCCGGCTACAGGCTCTTCCCTAGGCCCCTGAGGGGGGGGTCTAGAGGCAGGTTTAGGGTTTTATTTAATGCAAACAGCCAGAGCTGCAGCTCCCCCCGGAAGAGTATCCGGGACCCTAGAGGCTATAGGCACGCCTCAGCTTAGCCATTTCGAGCTTCACTCGCCCTCCTTTTCATTACTGCCCCCCCCTGGATTTTTGCCCAGGAGGTCACCCAACCCAGTTTCGCACTCCCCTCAACAGGCACTTAGCCCAGGAGTTCTAACGAAGCTGTGTGTAAAGCAGTAATAGGCAATGGGCCTGCCTTGCAGTGGGCACTACACCCTTTTAAGGGGGTGCGGCGGGTACACCCCGGCGGTGAGTTCAAGCTCAGCTCTCGACAGCCCAGCATCCCTGGCATACCAAGGAGCCGGCTACAGGCTCTTCCCTAGGCCCCTGAGGGGGGGGTCTAGAGGCAGGTTTAGGGTTTTATTTAATGCAAACAGCCAGAGCTGCAGCTCCCCCCGGAAGAGTATCCGGGACCCTAGAGGCTATAGGCACGCCTCAGCTTAGCCATTTCGAGCTTCACTCGCCCTCCTTTTCATTACTGCCCCCCCCTGGATTTTTGCCCAGGAGGTCACCCAACCCAGTTTCGCACTCCCCTCAACAGGCACTTAGCCCAGGAGTTCTAACGAAGCTGTGTGTAAAGCAGTAATAGGCAATGGGCCTGCCTTGCAGTGGGCACTACACCCTTTTAAGGGGGTGCGGCGGGTACACCCCGGCGGTGAGTTCAAGCTCAGCTCTCGACAGCCCAGCATCCCTGGCATACCAAGGAGCCGGCTACAGGCTCTTCCCTAGGCCCCTGAGGGGGGGGTCTAGAGGCAGGTTTAGGGTTTTATTTAATGCAAACAGCCAGAGCTGCAGCTCCCCCCGGAAGAGTATCCGGGACCCTAGAGGCTATAGGCACGCCTCAGCTTAGCCATTTCGAGCTTCACTCGCCCTCCTTTTCATTACTGCCCCCCCCTGGATTTTTGCCCAGGAGGTCACCCAACCCAGTTTCGCACTCCCCTCAACAGGCACTTAGCCCAGGAGTTCTAACGAAGCTGTGTGTAAAGCAGTAATAGGCAATGGGCCTGCCTTGCAGTGGGCACTACACCCTTTTAAGGGGGTGCGGCGGGTACACCCCGGCGGTGAGTTCAAGCTCAGCTCTCGACAGCCCAGCATCCCTGGCATACCAAGGAGCCGGCTACAGGCTCTTCCCTAGGCCCCTGAGGGGGGGGTCTAGAGGCAGGTTTAAGGTTTTATTTAATGCAAACAGCCAGAGCTGCAGCTCCCCCCGGAAGAGTATCCGGGACCCTAGAGGCTATAGGCACGCCTCAGCTTAGCCATTTCGAGCTTCACTCGCCCTCCTTTTCATTACTGCCCCCCCCTGGATTTTTGCCCAGGAGGTCACCCAACCCAGTTTCGCACTCCCCTCAACAGGCACTTAGCCCAGGAGTTCTAACGAAGCTGTGTGTAAAGCAGTAATAGGCAATGGGCCTGCCTTGCAGTGGGCACTACACCCTTTTAAGGGGGTGCGGCGGGTACACCCCGGCGGTGAGTTCAAGCTCAGCTCTCGACAGCCCAGCATCCCTGGCATACCAAGGAGCCGGCTACAGGCTCTTCCCTAGGCCCCTGAGGGGGGGGTCTAGAGGCAGGTTTAGGGTTTTATTTAATGCAAACAGCCAGAGCTGCAGCTCCCCCCGGAAGAGTATCCGGGACCCTAGAGGCTATAGGCACGCCTCAGCTTAGCCATTTCGAGCTTCACTCGCCCTCCTTTTCATTACTGCCCCCCCCTGGATTTTTGCCCAGGAGGTCACCCAACCCAGTTTCGCACTCCCCTCAACAGGCACTTAGCCCAGGAGTTCTAACGAAGCTGTGTGTAAAGCAGTAATAGGCAATGGGCCTGCCTTGCAGTGGGCACTACACCCTTTTAAGGGGGTGCGGCGGGTACACCCCGGCGGTGAGTTCAAGCTCAGCTCTCGACAGCCCAGCATCCCTGGCATACCAAGGAGCCGGCTACAGGCTCTTCCCTAGGCCCCTGAGGGGGGGGTCTAGAGGCAGGTTTAGGGTTTTATTTAATGCAAACAGTTTAGGGTTTAGGGTTTAGGGTGAGAATGGGGGGGGGGTGATGGAAAGAGGAAGAATGGGGCGGGGAGATGGAAAGAGGAAGAATGGGGCGGGGTGATCGAAAGCGGGAGAATGGGGCGGGGTGATGGAAAAGGGGATAATGGGACGGGGTAATGGAAAGCGGTAGAATCGGGCGGGGTGATGGAAAGCGGGAGAATGGGGCGGGGTGATGGAAAGAGGGAGAATGGGGCGGGGTGATGGAAAGCGGGAGAATGGGGCGGGGTGATGGAAAGCGGGAGAATGGGGCGGGGTGATGGAAAGCGGGAGAACGGGGCGGGGTGATGGAAAGAGGGAGAATGGGACGGGGTGATGGAAAGCGGGAGAATGGGGCAGGGTTATGGAAAGAGGGAGAATGGGGCGGGGTGATGGAAAGCGGGAGAATGGGGCGGGGTGATGGAAAGAGGGAGAATGGGGCGGGGTGATGGAAAGAGGGAGAATGGGGCGGGGTGATGGAAAGCGGGAGAATGGGGCGAGGTTATGGAAAGAGGGAGAATGGGGCAGGGTGACGGAAATCGGGAGAATGGGGCGGGGTGATGGAAAGAGGGAGAATGGGGCGGGGTGATGGAAAGCGTGAGAATGGGGCGGGGTGATGGAAATCGGGAGAATGGGGCGGGGTTATCGAAAGAGGGAGAATGGGGCGGGGTGACGGAAATCGGGAGAATGGGGCGGGGTGATGGAAAGAGGGAGAATGGGGCGGGGTGATGGAAAGAGGGAGAATGGGGCGGGGTGATGGAAAGAGGGAGAATGGGGCGGGGAGATGGAAAGAGGAAGAATGGGGCGGGGTGATGAAAAGCAGGAGAATGGGGCGGGGTGATGGAAAGAGTGATAATGGGACGGGGTGATGGAAAGCGGTAGAATGGAGCGGGGTGATGGAAAGCGGGAGAATGGGGCAGGGTGATGGAAAGCGGGAGAATGGGGTGGGGTGATGGAAAGAGGGAGAATGGGGCGGGGTGATGGAAAGCGGGAGAATGGGTCGGGGTGATGGAAAGAGGGAGAATGGGGCGGGGTGATGGAAAGAGGGAGAATGGGGCGGGGTGACGGAAATCGGGAGAATGGGGCGGGGTGATGGAAAGAGGGAGAATGGGGCGGGGTGATGGAAAGAGGGAGAACGGGGCGGGGAGATGGAAAGAGGAAGAATAAGCCAGGGTGATGGAAAGAGGAAGAATGGGGCGGGGTGACGAAATCGGGAGAATGGGGCGGGGTGATGGAAAGAGGGAGAATGGGGCGGGGTGATGGAAAGAGGGAGAATGGGGCGGGGTGATGGAAAGAGGGAGAATGGGGCGGGGAGATGGAAAGAGGAAGAATGGGGCGGGGTGATGGAAAGCGGGAGAATGGGGCGGGGTGATGGAAAGAGGGATAATGGGACGGGGTGATGGAAACGGGACAATGGAGCGGGATGATGGAAAGCGGTAGAATGGGGCGGGGTGATGGAAAGCGGGAAAATGGGGCGGGGTGATGGAAAGAGGGAGAATGGGGCGGGATGATGGAAAGCGGGAGAATGGGGCGGGGTGATGGAAAGCGGGAGAATGGGGCGGGGTGATGGAAAGCGGGAGAACGGGGCGGGGTGATGGAAAGAGGGAGAATGGGACGGGGTGATAGAAAGCGGGTGAATGGGGTAGGGTGATGGAGAGCGGGAGAATGGGGCGGGGTGATGGAAAGCAGAAGATTGAGGCGGTGTGATGGAAAGCGGGAGAATGGGGCGGGGTGATGGAAGGAGGGAGAATGGGGAGGGGTGATGGAAAGCAGGAGAATGGGGCGGGGTGATGGAAGGAGGGAGAATGGGGCGGGATGATGGAAAGGGGTAGAATGGGGCGGGGTGATGGAAAGCGGGAGAATGGGGCGGGGTGATGGAAGGAGGGAGAATTAGGCGGGGTGATAGAAAGCAGGAGAATGTGGTTGGGTGATGGAAAGAGGGAGAATGGTACGGGGTGATTGAAAGCGGGTGAATGGGGTAGGGTGATGGAAAGCGGGAGAATGGGGCGGGGTGATGGAAAGCAGAAGATTGAGGCGGTGTGATGGAAAGCGGGAGAATGGGGCGGGGTGATGGAAGGAGGGAAAATGGGGCGGAGTGATGGAAAGCGGGAGAATGGGGCGGGATGATGGAAGGAGGGAGAATGGGGCGGGATGATGGAAAGCGGTAGAATGGGGCGGGGTGATGGAAAGCGGGAGAATGGGGCGGGGTGATGGAAGGAGGGAGAATTAGGCGGGGTGATAGAAAGCGGGAGAATGTGGCGGGGTGATGGAAAGCGGGAGAAGGGGGTGGGGTTATGGGAAGCGGGAGAATGTGGCGGGCTGATGGAAAGCGGGAGAATGGGGCGGGGTGATGGAAGGAGGGAGAATGGGGCGGGGTGATGGAAGGAGGGAGAATGGGACGGGGTGATGGAAAGCAGGAGAATGGGGCGGGGTGATGGAAAGCGGGAGAATGGGGCGGGGTGATGGAAGGAGGGAGAATGGGGCGGGGTGATGGAAGGAGGGAGAATGGGGCGGAGTGATAGAAAGCGGGAGAATGGGGCGGGGTGATGGAAGGAGGGAGAATGGGGCGGGATGATGGAAAGCGGGAGAATGGGGCGGGGTGATGGAATGAGGGAGAATGGGGCGGGGTGATGGAAGGAGGGAGAATGGGGCGGGGTGATGGAAAGCGGGAAAATGGGGCGGGGTGATGGAATGAGGGAGAATGGGGCGGGGTGATGGAAGGAGGGAGAATAGGGCGGGGTGATGGAAAGCGGGAGAATGGGGCAGGGTGATGGAAGGAGGAAGAATGGGCTGGGGTGATGGAAAGCGGGAGAATGGGGCGGGGTGATGGAAAGCGGGAGAATGGGGCGGGGTGATGGAAAGCGAGAGAATGGGGCAGGGTGATGGAAGGAGGGAGAATGGGGAGGGGTGATGGAAAGCAGGGGAATGGGGCGGGATGATGGGAAGCGGAAGAATGGGGCGGGGTGATGGAAGCGGGAGAATGGGGCGGGGTGATGGAATGCGGGAGAATGGGGCGGGGAGATGGAAAGCGGGAGAATAGGGTGGGGTTATGCGAAGCGGGAGAATGGGGCGGGGTGATGGAAAGCGGGAGAAAGGGGCGGGGTGATGGAAGGAGGGTGAATGGGGCGGGGTGATGGAAGGAGGGAGAATGGGGCGGAGTGATGGAAAGCGGGAGAATGGGGCGGGGTGATGGAAGGAGGGAGAATGGGGCGGGATGATGGAAAGCCGTAGAATGGGGTGGGGTGATGGAAAGCGGGAGAATGGGGCGGGGTGATGGAAGGAGGGAGAATGGGGCGGGGTGATAGAAAGCGGGAGAATGTGGCGGGGTGATCGAAAGCGGGAGAAGGGGGTGGGGTTATGGGAAGCGGGAGAATGGGGCGGGCTGATGAAAAGCGGGAGAATGGGGCGGGGTGATGGAAGGAGGGAGAATGGGGCGGGGTGATGGAAGGAGGGAGAAAGAGACGGGGTGATGGAAAGCAGGAGAATGGGGCGGGGTGATGGAAGGAGGGAGAATGGGGCGGGGTGATGGAAAGCGGGAGAATGGGGCGGGATGATGGAAAGCGGGAGAATGGGGCGGGGTGATGGAAAGCGGGAGAATGAGGCTGGGTGATGGAAAGCGGGAGAATGGGGCGGGGTGATAGAAAGCGGGAGAATGGGGCGGGGTGATGGAAGGAGGGAGAATGGGGTGGGGTGATGGAAAGCGGTAGATTGGGGCAGGGTGATGGAAAGCGGGAGAATGGGGCGGGGTGATGGAAAGCGGGAAAATGGGGCGGGGTGACGGAAAGCGGGAGAATGGGGCTGGGTGATGGAAAGCGGGAGAATGGGGCGGGCAGATGGAAAGCGGGAGAGTGGGGCGGGTTGATGGAAAGAGGGAGAATGGGGCGGGGGGATGGAAGGAGAGAGAAGGGGGCGGGGTGATGGAAAGTGGGAAAATGTGGCGGGGTGATGGAAAGCGGGAGAATGGGGTGGGGTTATGGGAAGCGGGAGAATGGGGCGGGGTGATGCAAAGCGGGAGAATGGGGCAGGGTGATGGAATGAGGGAGAATGGGGCGGGGTGATGGAAGGAGGGAGAATGGGGCGGGGTGATGGAAAGCGGGAGAATGGGGCGGGGTGATGGAAGGAGGGAGAATGGGGCGGGGTGATGGAAAGCGGGAGAATGGGTCGGGGTGATGGAAAGCGGGAGAATGGGGCGCGGTGATGGAAAGCGAGAGAATGGAGCGGGGTGATGGAAGGAGGGAGAATGGGGAGGGGTGATGGAAAGCGGGGGAATGGGGCGGGATGATGGGAAGCGGAAGAATGGGGCGGTGTGATGGAAAGCGGGAGAATGGGGCGGGGTGATGGAAAGCGGGAGAATGGGGCGGGGAGATGGAAAGCGGGAAAAAGGGGAGGGGTGATGGAAAGCGGGAGAATGGGGCGGGCTGATGGAAAGCGGGAGATTGGGGCAGGGTGATGGAAGGAGGGAGAATGGGGCGGGGTGATGGAAGGAGAGAGAAGGGGGCGGGCTGATGGAGAGTGGGAGAATGTGGCGGGGTGATGGAAAGCGGGAGAATGGGGTGGGGTTATGGGAAGCGGGAGAATGAGGCGGGGTGATGGAAAGCGGGAGAATGGGGCGGGGTGATGGAAGGAGGGAGAATGGGGCGGGGTGATGGAAGAAGGGATAATGGGGCGGAGTGATGGAAAGCGGGAGAATGGGGCGGGGTGATGGACAGCGGGAGAATGGGGCGGGGAGATGGAAAGCGGGAGAAAGGGGAGGGGTGATGGAAAGCGGGAGAATGGGGCGGGCTGATGGAAAGCGGGAGATTGGGGCAGGGTGATGGAAGGAGGGAGAATGGGGCGGGGTGATGGAAGGAGAGAGAAGGGGGCGGGCTGATGGAAAGTGGGAGAATGTGGCGGGGTGATGGAAAGCGGGAGAATGGGGTGGGGTTATGGGAAGCGGGTGAATGAGGCGGGGTGATGGAAAGCGGGAGAATGGGGCGGGGTGATGGAAAGCGAGAGAATGGGGCGGGGTGATGGAAGGAGGGAGAATGGGGAGGGGTGATGGAAAGCGGGGGAATGGGGCGGGATGATGGGAAGCGGAAGAATAGGGCGGGGTGATGGAAGGAGGGAGAATGGGGCGGGATGATGGAAAGCGGGAGAATGGGGCGGGGTGATGGAAAGCGGGAGAATGGGGCGGGGTGATGGAAAGCGAGAGAATGGGGCGGGGTGATGGAAATCGGGAGAATGGGGCGGGGTGATGGAAAGCGGGAGAATGGGGCGGGGTGATGGAAAGCGGGAGAATGGGGCCGGGTGATGGAAAGCGGGAGAATGGGGCGAGGTGATGGAAAGCGGGAGAATGGGGCGGGGTGATGGAAAGGGAGAGAATGGGGTGGGGTGATGGAAGGAGGGAGAATGGGGCGGGGTGATGGAAAGCGGGAGAAGGGGCTGGGTGGTGGAAAGAGGGAGAATGGGGAGGGGTGATGGAGAGCGGGAGAATTGGGCGGGGTGATGGAAAGCGGGAGAATGGAGCGGGGTGATGGAAAGCGGGAGAATGGGGCGGGCTGATGGAAAGCGGGAGAATGGGACGGGGTGATGGAAAGAGTGAAAATGGGGCGGGGGGATGGATTGGGGGAGAATGGGGGCGGGTGATGGAAAGAGGGAGAATGGTGCGGGGTGATGGAAAGAGGGAAAATTGGGCGGGGTGATGAAAGGTGGGAGAATGGAGCGGGGTGATGGAAAGCAGGAGAATGGGACGGGGTGATGGAAAGAGGGAGAATGGTGCGGAGTGATGGAAAGCGGGAGAATGGTGCGGGGTGATGCAAAGAGGGAGAATGGGGCGGGGTGATGGAAAGCGGGAGAATGGGGCAGGGTGATGGAAAGAGGGAGAATGGGGAGGGGTGATGGAAAGAGGGAGAATTGGGCGGGGTGATGGAAAGCGGGAGAATGGAGCGGGGTGATGGAAAGCGGGAGAATGGGGCGGGGTGATGGAAAGCGGGAGAATGGGGCGGGGTGATGGAAAGAGGGAAAATGGGGCGGGGTGATGAAAAGCAGGAGAATGGGGCGGGGTGATGGAAAGAGGGAGAATGGGACGGGGTGATGGAAAGCAGGAGAATGGGGCGGGGTGATAGAAAGCGGGAGAATGGGGCGGGGTGATGTAAAGAGGGAGAATGGGGCTGGGTGATGGAAGGCGGGAGAATGGGGCGGGGTGATGGAAAGAGGGAGAATGGGGCGGGGTGATGGAAGGATGGAGAATGGGGCGGGGTGATGGAAGGCGGGAGAGTGGGGCGGGGTGATGGAAAGATGGAGAGTGGGGCGGGGTGATGGAAAGTGGGAGAATGGGGCGGGGTGATGGAAAGCGGGAGAATGGGGCGGGGTGATGGAAAGCGGGAGAATGGGGCGGGGTGATGGAAAGCGAGAGAATGGGGTGGAGTGATAGAAAGCGGGAGAATGGGGCGGGGTGATGGAAAGCGGGAGAATAGGGCGGGGTGATGGAAAGAGGGAGAATGGGGCGGGGTGATGGAAAGAGGGAGAATGGGGAGGGGTGATGGAAGGAGGGAGAATGGGGCGGGGTGATGGAAAGCGGGAGAATAGGGCGGGGTGATGGAAAGAGGGAGAATGGGGCGGGGTGATGGAAAGAGGGAGAATGGGGAGGGGTGATGGGAGGGAGAATTGGGCGGGATGATGGAAAGCGGGAGAATGGGGCGGGGTGATGGAAAGCGGGAGAATGGGGCGGGGTGATGGAAAGCGAGAGAATGGGGCGGGGTGATAGAAAGCGGGAGAATGGAGCGGGGTGATGGAAAGCGGGAGAATAGGGCGGGGTGATGGAAAGAGGGAGAATGGGGCGGGGTGATGGAAAGAGGGAGAATGGGGAGGGGTGATGGAAGGAGGGAGAATTGGGCGGGATGATGGAAAGTAGGAGAATGGGGCGGGGTGATGGAAAGTAGGAGAATGGGGCGGGGTGATAGAAAGTAGGAGAATGGGGTGGGGTGATGTAAGGAGGGAGAATGGGGCGGGGTGATAGAAGGAGGGAGAAGGGGGCGGGGTGATGGAAAGCGGAAGAATGGGGTGGGGTGATGGAAAGTGAGAGAATGGGGCGGGGTGATGGAAAGCGGGAGAATGGGGAGGGCTGATGGAAAGCGGGAGAATGGGGCGGGGTGATCAAAGGAGGGAGAATGGGGCGGGGTGATGGAAAGCGGAAGAATGGGGCGGGGTGATCGAAGGAGGGAGAATGGGGCGGGGTGATGGAAAGTGGGAGAATGTGGCGGGTTGATGGAAAGAGGGAGAATGGGGCGGGGTTATGGAAAGCGGGAGAATGGGGCGGGGTGACGGAAAGCGGGAGAATGGGGTAGGGTGATGGAAAGCAGGAGAATGGGGCGGGGTGATGGAAGGAGGTAGAATGAGGCGGGGTGACGGAAAGAGGGAGAATGGGGCGGGGTGATGGAAAGCGGGAGAATGGGGCGTGGTGATGGAAAGCAGGAGAATGGGGCGGGGTGATGGAAAGTGGGAGAATTGGGCGGGGTGATGGAAAGCGGGAGAATGGGGCGGGGTGATGGAAGGAGGTAGAATGGGGCGGGGTGATGGAAAGCGGGAGAATGGGGCGGGGTGATGGAAAGCGGGAGAATGGGGCGGAGTGATGGAATGCGGGAGAATGGGGCGGGGTGATGGAAAGCGGGAGAATGGGGCGTGGTGATGGAAAGCGGGAGAATGGGGCGGGGTGATGGGAGAATGGGGCGGGGTGATGGAAGGAGGGAGAATGGGGCGGGGTGATGGAAAGCGGGAGAATGGGGCAGGGTGATGGAAAGCGGGAGAATGGGGCGGGGTGATGAAAAGCGGGAGAATGGGGCGGGGTGATGGAAAGCGGGAGCATGGGGCGGGGTGTTGGAAGGAGGTAGAATGAGGCGGGGTGATGGAAGGAGGGAGAATGGGGCGGGGTGATGGAAAGTGGGAGAATGGGGCGGGGTGATGGAAAGCGGGAGAATGGGGCGGGGTGATGGAAAGCGGGAGAATGGGGCGGGGAGATTGAAAGCGGGAGAAAGGGGCGGGGTGATGGAAAGCGGGAGAATGGGGCGGGCTGATAGAAAGTGAGAGAATGGGGCGGGGTGATGGAAGGAGGGAGAATGGGGCGGGGTGATGGAAGGAGGGAGAAGGGGGCGGGGTGATGGAAAGCGGGAGAATGGGGTGGGGTGATGAAAAGCGAGAGAATGGGGCGGGGTGATGGAAAGCGGGAGAATGGGGAGGGCTGATGGAAAGCGGGAGAATGGGGCGGGGTGATCAAAGGAGGGAGAATGGGGCGGGGTGATGGAAGGAGGGAGAATGGTGCGGGGTGATGGAAGGAGGGAGAATAGGGCGGGGTGATGGAAAGTGGGAGAATGTGGCGGGGTGATGGAAAGCGCGAGAATGGGGCGGGTTATGGAAAGCGGGAGAATGGGGCGGGGTGACGGAAAGCGGGAGAATGGGGCATGGTGATGGAAGGAGGGAGAATGGGGCGGGGTGATGGAAAGCGGGAGAATGGGGCGTGGTGATGGAAAGCGGGAGAATGGGGCGGGGTGATGGAAAGCGGGAGAATGGGGCGGGGTGATGGAAAGCGGGAGAATGGGGCGGGGTGATGGAAGGAGGTAGAATGAGGCGGGGTGATGGAAGAGGGAGAATGGGGCGGGGTGATGGAAAGCGGGAGAATGGGGCAGGGTGATGGTAAGAGGGAGAATGGGGCGGGGTGATGGAAAGCGGGAGAATGGGTCGGGGTGATGGAAAGAGGGAGAATGGGGCGGGGTGATGGAAAGAGGGAGAATGGGGCAGGATGACGGAAATCGGGAGAATGGGGCGGGGTGATGGAAAGAGGGAGAATGGGGCAGGGTGACGGAAATCGGGAGAATGGGGCGGGGTGATGGAAAGAGGGAGAATGGGGCGAGGAGATGGAAAGAGGAAGAATGGGGCGGGGTGATGGAAAGCGGGCGAATGGGGCGGGGTGATGGAAAGAGGGAGAATGGGACGGGGTGATGGAAAGCGGGAGAATGGGGCGGGGTGATGGAAAGCGGGAGAATGGGGCGGGGTGATGGAAAGAGGGAGAATGGGGCCGGGTGATGGAAAGAGGGAGAATGGGGCGGGGTGATGGAAAGCGGGAGAATGGGGCGGGGTGATGGAAAGAGGGAGAATGGGGCGGTGTGATGGAAAGCAGGAGAATGGGTCGGGGTGATGGAAAGAGGGAGAATGGGGCGGGGTGATGGAAAGAAGGAGAATGGGGCAGGATGACGGAAATCGGGAGAATGGGGCGGGGTGATGGAAAGAGGGAGTATGGGGCGAGGTGACGGAAATTGGGAGAATGGGGCGGGGTGATGGAAAGAGGGGAAATGGGGAGGGGTGATGGAAAGATGGAGAATGGGGCGGGGTGATGGAAAGAGGGAGAATGGGGCGGGGAGATGGAAAGAGGAAGAATGGGGCGGGGTGATGGAAAGAGGGAGAATGGGGCGGGGTGACGGAAATCGGGAGAATGGGGCGGGGTGATGGAAAGAGGGAGAATGGGGCGGGGTGACGGAAATCGGGAGAATGGGGCGGGGTGATGGAAAGAGGGAGAATGGGGCGGGGTGATGGAAAGCGGGAGAATGGGGCGGGGTGATGGAAAGCGGGAGAATGGGGCGGGATGATTGAAAGCGGGAGAATGGGGCGGGGTGATGGAAAGCGGGAAAATGGGGCGGGGTGATGGAAAGAGGGAGAATAGGGCGGGGTGATGGAAAGAGGGAAAATGGGGCGGGGTGATGGAAAGCGGGAGAATGGGGCGGGGTGATGGAAAGAGGGAGAATGGAGAGGGGTGATAGAAAGAGGGAGAATTCGGCGGGGTGATGGAAAGTGGGAGAATGGAGCGGGGTGATGGAAAGCGGGAGAATGAGGCGGGGTGATAGAAAGCGGGAGAATGGGGCGGGGTGATGGAAAGCGGGAGAATGGGGCGGGGTGATGGAAAGCAGGAGAATGTGGCGGGGTGATGGAAATCGAGAGAATGGGGCGAAGTGATGGAAAGCTGGAGAATGGGGCGGGGTGATGGAAATCGAGAGAATGGGGCGGGGTGATGGAAAGCGGGAGAATGGGGCGGAGTGATGGAAAGCGGGAGAATGGGGCGGGGTGATGGAAAGAGGGAGAATGGGGCGGGGTGATGGAAAGCGGGAGAATGGGGCGGGGTGATGGAAAGAGGGAGAATGGGGCGGGGTGATGGAAAGCGGGAGAATGGGGCGGGGTGATGGAAAGCGGGAGAATGGGGCGAGGTGATGGAAAGCGGGAGAATGGGGCGGGGTGATGGAAAGAGGGAGAATGGGGCGGGGTGATGGAAAGCGGGAGAATGGGGCGGGGTGATGGAAAACGGGAGAATGGGGCAGGGTGTTGGAAAGCAGGAGAATGGGGCGGGGTGATGGAAATCGGGAGAATGGGGCGGTGTGATGGAAAGCGGGAGAATAAGGCGGGGTGATAGAAAGCGAGAGAATGGGGCGGGGTGATGGAAAACGGGAGAATGGGATGGGGTGATGGAAAGTGGGAGAATTGGGCGGGGTGATGGATAGAGGGAGAATGGGGCGGGGTGATGGAAAGCGGGAGAATGGGGCGGGGTGATGGAAGGCGGAAGAATGGGGCGGGGTGATGGAAAGCGGGAGAATTGGGCAGGGTGATGGAAAGATGGAGAATGAGGCGGGGTGATAGAAGGCGGGAGAACGGGGCGGGGTGATGGAAAGCGGAAGAATGGGACGGGGTGATGAAAAGAGAGAAAATGGGGCGAGGTGATGGATTGGGGGAGAATGGGGCGGGGTGATGGAAAGAGGGAGAATGGGGCGGGATGATGGAAAGAGGGAAAATTGGGCGGGGTGATGGAAAGCGGGAGAATGGGACGGGGTCATCGAAAGCAGTAGAATGGGGTGGGGTGATGGAAAGAGGGAGAATGGGGTGGGGTGATGGAAAGAGGGAGAATTGGGCGGGGTGATGGAAAGCGCGAGAATGGAGCGGGCTGATGGAAAGCGGGAGAATGGGGCGGGGTGATGGAAAGCGGGAGAATGGGGCGGGGTGATGGAAAGAGGGAAATTGGGGCGGGGTGATGGAAAGCGAGAGAATGGGGCGGGGTGATGGAAAGAGGGAGAATGGGGCGGGAGAATGGGGCGGGGTGATGGAAAGCGGGAGAATGGGGCGGGGTGATGGAAAGAGGGAGAATGGGGCGGGGTGATGGAATGCGGGAGAATGGGGCGCGGTGATGGAAAGCGGGAGAATTGGCCAGGGTGATGGAAGGAAGGAGAATGGGGCGGGGTGATGGAAGGCGGGAGAATGGGGCGGGGTGATGGAAAGAGGGAGAATGGGGCGGGGTGATAGAAAGCATGAGAATGGGGCGGGGTGATGGAAAGAGGGAGAATGGGGAGGGGTGATGGAGATAGTGAGAATGGGGCGGGGTGATGGAAAGCGGGAGAATGGTGCGGGGTGATGGAAAGCGGGAGAATAAGGCGGGGTGATAGAAAGTGAGAGAATGGGGCGGGGTGATGGAAAACAGGAGAATGGGACGGGGTGATGGAAAGTGGGAGAATTGGGCGGGGTGATGGATAGAGGGAGAATGGGGCGGGGTGATGTAAAGCGGGAGAATGGGGCGGGGTGATGGAAATCGGGAGAATGGGGTGGGGTGATGAAAAGCGGGAGAATGGGACGAGGTCATGGAAAGCAGTAGAATGGGGTGGGGTGATGGAAAGAGGGAGAATGGTGCGGGGTGATGGAAAGCGGGAAAATGGTGCGGGGTGATGGAAAGAGAGAGGATAGGGCGGGGTGATGGAAAGAGGGAGAATGGGGCAAGGTGATGGAAAGCGGGAGAATAGGGCGGGGTGATGGAAAGAGGGAGAATGGGGTGGGGTGATGGAAAGAGGGAGAATTGGGCGGGGTGATGGAAAGCGGGAGAATGGAGTGGGGTGATGGAAAGCGGGAGAATGGGGCGGGGTGGTGGAAAGCGGGAGAATGGGGCGGGGTGATGGAAAGAGGGAAAATGGGGCGGGGTGATGGAAAGCGAGAGAATGGGGCGGGGTGATGGAAAGAGGGAGAATGGGGCGGGAGAATGGGGCGGGGTGATGGAAAGCGGGAGAATGGGGCGGGGTGATGGAAAGAGGGAGAATGGGGCGGGGTGATGGAAGGCGGGAGAATGGGGCGCGGTGATGGAAAGCGGGAGAATTGGCCAGGGTGATGTAAGGAAGGAGAATGGGGCGGGGTGATGGAAGGCGGGAGAATGGGGCGGGGTGATGGAAAGAGGGAGAATGGGACGGGGTGATAGAAAGCATGAGAATGGGGCGGGGTGATGGAAAGAGGGAGAATGGGGAGGGGTGATGGAAATAGTGAGAATGGGGCGGGGTGATGGAAAGCTGGAGAATGGTGCGGGGTGATGGAAAGCGGGAGAATAAGGCGGGGTGATAGAAAGCGAGAGAATGGGGCGGGGTGAAGGAAAGGGGGAGAATGGGGCAGGGTGATGGAAAGAGGGAGAATGGGGAGGGGTGATGGAAAGAGGGAGAATTGGGCAGGGTGATGGAAAGCGGGAGAATGGAACAAGGTGATGGAAAGCAGGAGAATGGGGCGGGGTGATGGAAAGAGGGAGAATGGGGCGCGGTGATGGAAAGCGGGAGAATGGGACGGGATGATGGAAAGCGGGAGAATCGGGCGAGGTGATGGATAGAGGGAGAATGGGGCAGGGTGATGGAAAGAGGGAGAATGGGGCGGGGTGATGGAAAGCGGGAGAATGGGGCGGGGTGATGGAAAGCAGGAGAATGGGGTGGGGTGATGGAAAAAGGGAGAATGGGGCGGGCTGATGGAAAGAGGGAGAATGGGGCGGGGTGATGGAAAGCGGGAGAATGGGGAAGGGTGATGGAAATCGGGAGAATGGGGCAGGGTGATGGAAAGCGGGAGAATGGGGCGGAGTGATGGAAAGGGGGAGAATGGGGCGGGGTGATAGAAAGAGGGAGAATTGGGCGGGGTGATGGAAAGCGGGAGAATGGGGAGGGGTGATAGAAAGAGGGAGAATGGGGCGGGGTGGTGGAAAGCGGGAGAGTGGGGCGGGGTGATGGAAAGAAGGAAAATGGGGCGGGGTGATGGAAAGCGGGAGAATGGGGCGGGGTGATGGAAAGCGGGAGAATGGGGCGGGGTAAAGGAAAGCGGGAGAATGGGGCAGGGTGATGGAAAGAGGGAGAATGGGGCGGGGTGATGGAAAGCGGGAGAATGGGGGGGGGGGGATGGAAAAGGGGAGAATAAGGAGGGGTGAAAGAAAGAGGGAGAATTGGGCGGGGTGATGGAAAGCGGGAGAATGGGGAGGGGTGATAGAAAGAGGGAGAATGGGGCGGGGTGATGGAAAGCGGGAGAATGAGGCGGGGTGATGGAAAGAGGGAAAATGGGGCGGGGTGATGGAAAGCGGGAGAATGGGGCGGGGTGATGGAAAGAGGGAGAATGGGGCGGGGTGATGGAAAGAGGGAGAATGGGGCGGGGTGATGGAAAGAGGGAGAATTGGGCGGGGTGATGGAAAGAGGGAGAATGGGGAGGGGTGATGGAAAGAGGGAGAATTGGGCGGGGTGATGGAAAGCGGGAGAAAGGAGCGGGGTGATGGAAAGCGGGAGAATGGGGCGGGGTGATGGAAAGAGGGAGTATGGGGCGGGGTGATGGAAAGCGGGAGAATGGGGCGCGGTGACGGAAAGAGGGAGAATGGAGCGGGGTGATGGAAAGCGGGAGAATGGGGCGGGGTGACGGAAAGTGGGAGAATGGGGCGGTGTGATGGAAAGAGGGAGAATGGAGAGGGGTGATGGAAAGCGGGAGAATGTGGCGGGGTGATGGAAAGAGGGAGAATGGGGTGGGGTGATGGAAAGAGGGAAAATGGGGCGGGGTGATGGAAAGCGGGAGAATGGGGCGGGGTGATAGAAAGAGGGAGAATGGGGAGGGGTGATAGAAAGAGGGAGAATTGGGCGAGGTGATGGAAAGCGGGAGAAGGGGGAGGGGTGATAGAAAGAGGGAGAATGGGGCGGGGTGATGGAAAACGGGAGAATGGGGCGGGGTGATGGAAAGCGGGAGAATGGGGCGGGGTAAAGGAAAGCGGGAGAATGGGGCCGGGTGAAGGAAAGAGGGAGAATGGGGCGGGGTGATGGAAAGCGGGAGAATGGGGCGGGGGGATGGAAAAGGGGAGAATGGGGAGGGGTAATAGAAAGTGGGAGAATTGGGCGGGGTGATGGAAAGCGGGAGAATGGGGAGGGGTGATAGAAAGAGGGAGAATGGGGCGGGGGGATGGAAAAGGGGAGAATGGGGAGGGGTGATAGAAAGAGGGAGAATTGGGCGGGGTGATGGAAAGCGGGAGAATGGGGAGGGGGGATGGAAAAGGGGAGAATGGGGAGGGGTGATAGAAAGAGGGAGAATTGGGCGGGGTGATGGAAAGCGGGAGAATGGGGAGGGGTGATAGAAAGAGGGAGAATGGGGCGGGGTGATGGAAAGCGGGAGAATGGGGCGGGGTGATGGAAAGAGAGAAAATGGGGCGGGGTGATGGAAAGCGGGAGAATGGGGCGGGGTGATGGAAAGAGGGAGAATGGGGCGGGGTGATGGAAAGCGGGAGAATGGGGCGGGGTGATAGAAAGCGGGAGAATGGGGCGGGGTGATGTAAAGAGGGAGAATGGGGCTGGGTGATGGAAGGCGGGAGAATGGGGCGGGGAGATGGAAAGAGGGAGAATTGGGCGGGGTGATGGAAAGAGGGAGAATGGGGCGGGGTGATGGAAAGAGGGAGAATGGGGCGGGGTGATGGAAAGAGGGAGAATGGGGCGGGGTGATGGAAAGAGGGAGAATGGGGCGGGGTCATGGAAAGAGGGAGAATGGGGCGGGGTGATGGAAAGCGGGAGAATGGGGCGGGGTGATGGAAAGAGGGAGAATTGGGCTGGGTGATTGAAAGCGGGAGAATGGAGCGGGGTGATGGAAAGCTGGAGAATGGGGCGGGGTGATGGAAAGCAGGAGAATGGGGCGGGCTGATGGAAAGAGGGAAAATGGGGCGGGGTAATGGAAAGCGGGAGAATGGGGCGGGGTGATGGAAAGAGGGAGAATGGGGCGGGGTGATGGAAAGCGGTAGAATGGGGTTGGGTGCTGGAAAGAGGGAGAGTGGAGGGCGGGGTGATGGAAAGAGGTAGAATGGGGAGGGGTGATGGAAAGAGGGAGAATTGGGCGGGGTGATGGAAAGCGGGAGAATAGAGCGGGGTGATGGAAAGCGGGAGAATGGGGCGGGGTGATGGAAAGCGGGAGAATGGGGCGGGGTGATGGAAAGAGGGAGAATGGGGCGGGGTGATGGAAAGCGGGAGAATGGGGCGGGGTGACAGAAAGAGGGAGAATGGAGCGAGGTGATGGAAAGCGGGAGAATGGGGCGGGGTGATGGAAAGAGGGAAAATGGGGCGGGGTGCTGGAAAGTGGGAGAATGGGGCGGGGTGATGGAAAGCGGGAGAATGGGGCGGGGTGATGGAAAGAGGGAGAATGGGGCGGGGTGATGGAAAGCAGAAGAATGGGGGGGGGTTGATGGAAAGAGGGAGAATTGGGCTGGGTGATTGAAAGCGGGAGAATGGAGCGGGGTGATGGAAAGCTGGAGAATGGGGCGGGGTGATGGAAAGCGGGAGAATGGGGCGGGGTGATGGAAAGAGGGAAAATGGGGCGGGGTGATAGAAAGAGGGAGAATGGGGCGGGGTGATGGAAAGCGGGAGAATGGGGCGGGGTGATGGAAAGAGGGAGAATGGGGCGGGGTGATGGAAAGGGGGAGAATGGGGGGGGGGGGAGTTGATGGAAAGACGGAGAATTGGGCTGGGTGATTGAAAGCGGGAGAATGGAGCGGGGTGATGGAAAGCTGGAGAATGGGGCGGGGTGATGGAAAGCAGGAGAATGGGGCGGGGTGATGGAAAGAGGGGAAATGGGGCGGGGTAATGGAAAGCGGGAGAATGGGGCGGGGTGATGGAAAGAGGGAGAATGGGGCGGGGTGATGGAAAGCTGGAGAATGGGGCGGGTGATGGAAAGAGGGAGAGTGGGGGGCGGGGTGATGGAAAGAGGTAGAATGGGGAGGGGTGATGGAAAGAGGGAGAATTGGGTGGGGTGATGGAAAGCGGGAGAATAGAGCGGGGTGATGGAAAGCGGGAGAATGGGGCGGGGTTATGGAAAGCGGGAGAATGGGGCGGGGTGATGGAAAGAGGGAGAATGGGGCGGGGTGATGGAAAGCGGGAGAATGGGGCGGGGTGACGGCAGAGGGAGAATGGAGCGGAATGATGAAAAGCGGGAGAATGGGGCGGGGTGACGGAAAGTGGGAGAATGGGGCGGGGTGATGGGAAGAGGGAGAATGGGGAGGGGTGATGGAAAGCGGGAGAATGTGGCGGGGTGATGGAAAGTGGGAGAATGGGGTGGGGTGATGGAAAGAGGGAAAATGGGGCGGGGTGATGGAATGCGGGAGAATGGGGCGGGGTGATAGAAAGAGGGAGAATTGGGCGGGGTGATGGAAAGCGGGAGAATGGGGAGGGGTGATAGAAAGAGGGAGAATGGGGCGGGGTGATGGAAAGCGGGAGAATGGGGCGGGGTGATGGGAAGCGGAAGAATGGGGCGGGGTGATGGAAAGCGGGAGAATGGGGCGGGGTGATGGGAAGCGGGAGAATGGGGCGGGGAGATGGAAAGTGGGAGAAAGGGGAGGGGTGATGGAAAGCTGGAGAATGGGGCGGGCTGATGGAAAGCGGGAGAATGGGTCGGGGTGATGGAAGGAGGGAGAATGGGGCAGGGTGATGGAAGGAGAGAGAAGGGGGCGGGGTGATGGAAAGTGGGAGAATGTGGCGGGGTGATGGAAAGCGGGAGAATGGGGTGGGGTTATGGGAAGTGGGAGATTGGGGCGGGGTGATGGAAAGCGGGAGAATGGGGCGGGGTGATGGAAGGAGGGAGAATGGGGCGGGGTGATGGAAGGAGGGAGAATGGGGCGGAGTGATGGAAAGCAGGAGAATGGGGCGGGGTGATGGAAGGAGGGAGAATGGGGCGGGATGATGGAAAGCGGGAGAATGGGGCGGGGTGATGGAAAGCGGGAGAATGGGGCGGTGTGATGGGAAAGCGGGAGAATGGGGCGGGGTGATGGAAAGCGGGAGAATGGGGCGGGGTGATGGAAGGAGGGAGAATGGGGCGGGGTGATGGAAGGAGGGAGAATGGGGCAGGGTGATGGAAAGCGGGAGAATGTGGCGGGGTGATGGAAGGAGGGAGAATGGGGCGGGGTGATGGAAAGCGGGAGAATGGGGCGGGGTGATGGAAAGCGGGAGAATGGGGCTGGGTGATGGAAAGCGGGAGAATGGGGCGGGGTGATGGAAAGTGGGAGAATGGGGCGGGGTGATGGAAGGAGGGAGAATGGGGTGGGGTGATGGAAAGCGGGAGATTGGGGCAGGGTGATGGAAAGCGGGAAAATGGGGCGGGGTGATGGAAAGCGGGAGAATGGGGCAGGGTGATGGAAAGCGGGAGAATGGGGCGGGGTGATGGAAAGCGGGAGAATGGGGCGGGGTGATGGAAGGAGGGAGAATGAGGCGGGGTGATGAAAGGAGGGAGAATGGGGCGGGGTGATGGAAAGTGGGAGAATGGGTCGGGGTGATGGAAAGCGGGAGAATGGGGCGGAGTGATGGAAAGCGGGAGAATTGGGCGGGGTGATGGAAAGCGGGAGAATGGTGCGGGGTGATGGAAAGCGGGAGAATGGGGCGGGGTGATGGAAAGCGGGAGAATGGGGCGGGGTGATGGAAAGCGGGAGAATGGGGCGGGTGATGGAAAGCGGGTGAATGGGGCAGGGTGATGGAAAGCGGGAGAATGGGGCGGGGTGATGGAAAGCAGAAGAATGGGGCGGGGTGATGGAAAGCGGGAGAATGTGGCGGGTGATGGAAAGGGGGAGAATGGGGCGGGGTGATGGAAGGAGGGAGAATGGGGAGGGGTGATGGAAAGGGGGGGAATGGGATGGGATGATGGGAAGCGGAAGAATGGTGCGGGGTGATGGAAAGCGGGAAAATGGGGCGGGCTGATGGAAAGCGGGAGAACGGGGCGGGGTGATGGAAAGCGGGAGAATAGGGAGGGGTGTTGGAAAGCGGGGGAATGGGGCGGGGTGATGAAAAGCGGGAGAATGGGGCGGGGTGATGGAGAGCGGGAGAATGGGGCGGGGTGATGGAAAGCAGGAGATGGGGCGGGTGATGGAAATTGGGTGAATGGTGCGGGGTGATGGAAAGCGGGAGAATGGGGCGGGGTGATGGAAAGAAGAAGAATGAGGCGGGGTGATGGAAAGCCGGAGAATGGGGCGAGGTGATGGAAAGCAGGAGAATGGGGCGGGTGATGGAAAGCGGGAGAATGGGTCGGGGTGATGGAAGGAGGGAGAATGGGGAGGGGTGATGGAAAGCGGAGGAATGGGGCGGGATGATGGGAAGTGGAAGAATGGGGCGGGGTGATGGAAAGCGGGAGAATGGGGCAGGGTGATGGAAAGCGGGAGAATGGGGCGGGGAGATGGAAAGCGGGAGAATGGGGCGGGGTGATGGAAGGAGGGAGAATGGGGCGGGGTGATGGAAGGAGGGAGAATGGGGCGGGGTGATGGAAAGTGGGAGAATGTGGCGGGGTGATGGAAAGCGAGAGTTGGGGCTGGGGTTATGGGAAGCGGAGAATTGGGCGGGGTGATGGAAGGAGGGAGAATGGGGCGGGGTGATGCAAAGAGGGAGAATGGGGCAGGGTGATGGAAAGCAGGAGAATGGGGCGGGGTGATGGAAAACGGGAGAATTGGGTGGGGTGATGGAAAGCGTGAGAACGGGGCGGGGTGATGGAAAGCGGGAGAATGGGGCGGGGTGATGGAAAGCAGTGGAATGGGGCGGGGTGATGGAAAGCGGGAGAATTGGGCGGGGTGATGGAAAGCGGGAGAATGGGGCGGGGTGATGGAAAGCGGGAGAATTGGGCGGGGTGATGGAAAGCGGGAGAACGGGGCGGGGTGATGGAAAGCGGGAGAATGGGGCGAGGTGATGGAAAGCGGGAGAATGCGGCGGGGTGATGGAAGGAGGGAGAATGGGGCGGGGTGATAGAAGGTGGGAGGATGGGGTGGGGTGATGGAAAGCGGGAAATGGGGCGGGGTGATGGAAAGCGGGAGAATGGGGCGGGGTGATGGAAAGCGGGAGAATGGGGCGGGGTGATGGAAAGCGGGAGAATGGGGCAGGGTGGTGGAAAGCGGGAGAATGGGGCGGGCTGATGGAAAGAGGGGGAATGGGGCAGGGTGATGGAAAGAGGGAGAATGGGGCGGGGTGATGAAAAGCGGAAGAATGGGGCGGGGTGATGGAAAGAGGGAGAATGGGGCGGGGTGATGAAAAGCAGAAGAATGGGGCACGGTGATGGAAAGAGGGAGAATGGGGCAGGGTGATGCAAAGCGGGAGAATGGGGCGGGGTGATGGGAAGCGGGAGAATGGGGCGGGGTGATGGAAATCGGAAGAATGGGGCGGGGTGATGGAAAGCGGGAGAATGGGGCCGGGTGATGGAAAGCGGGAGAATGGGGCCGGGTGATGGGAAGCGGGAGAATAGGGCGGGGTGATGGAGCGGGAGAATGGGGCGGGGTGTTGGAAAGCGGGAGAATGGGGTTGGGTGATGGAAAGAGGGAGAATAGGGCGGGGTGATGGAAAGAGGGAGAATGGGGCGGGGTGATGAAAAGAGGGAGAATGGGTCGGGGTGATGGAAAGCGGGAGAATGGGGCAGGGTGATGGAAAGCGGGAGAATGGGGTGGGGTGATGGAAAGCGGGAGAATGGGGCAGAGTGATGGAAAGCAGGAGAATGGGGCGGGGTGATGGAAAGCGGGAGAATGGGGCGGGGTGATGGAAAGAGGGAGAATGGGGCGGGGTGATGGAAAGCGGGAGAATGGGGCGGGGTGATGGAAAGAGGGAGAATGGGGCGGGGTGATGGAAAGCGGGAGAATGGGGCGGGATGATGGAAAGCGGGAGAATGGGGCGGGGTGATGGAAAGAGGGAGAATGGGGTGGGGTAATGGAAAGAGGGAGAAAGGGGCGGGTGATTAAAAGAGGGAGAATGGGGCAGGGTGATGGAAAGCGGGAGAATGGGGGGGGGGTGATGGAAAGCGGGAGAATGGGGCGGGGTGATGGAAAGCGGGAGAATGGGGCGGGGAGATGGAAAGCGGGAGAATGGGGCGGGGTGATGGAAAGAGGAAGAAAGGGGCGGGGTGATGGAAAGCGGGAGAATGGGGCGAAGTGATGGTAAGCGGGAGAATGGGGCGGGGTGATGGAAAGCGGGAGAATGGGGCGGGGTAATGGAAAGCGGAAGAATGGGGCGGGGTGACGGAAAGCGGGAGAATGGGGCGGGGTGATGGAAAGCGGGAGCATGGGGCGAGGTGATGGAAAGCTTGAGAATGGGGCGGGGTGATGGAAAGCGGGAGAATGGGGCGGGGTGATGGAAAGCGGGAAAATGGGGCGGGTGATGGAAAGCGGGATAATGGGGCTGGGTGACGGAAAGCGGGAGAATGGGGCGGGGTGATGGAAGAGGGGAGAATAGGGCGGGGTGATGGAAAGCAGGAGAATGGGGCGGGGTGATGGAAAGCGGGAGAATGGGGCGGGGTGATGGAAAGCGGGAGAATGGGGTGGGGTGATGGAAAGCTGGAGAATGGGCGGGGTGATGGAAAGAGGGTGAATGGGGCGGGGTGATGGAAAGCGGAAGAATGGGGCGGGGTGATGAAAGCGGGAGAATGGGGCAGGGTGATGGAAAGCGGGAGAATGGGGCGGGGTGATGGAAAGCGGGAGAATGGGGCGGGTGATGGAATGCTGGAGAATGGGCGGGTGATGGAAAGCGGAAGAATGGGGCGGGGTGATGGAAATAGGGAGAATGGGGTGGGTGATGGAAAGAGGGAGAATGGGGCGGGTGATGGAAAGAGGGAGAATGGGGCGGGGAG